CACTCCCCCACTCATTCACTATGATAAGATTTTTTGTTCTGGTGATGCCTGATATCAGATCCCTTCGACAGAGACTAACTTCTTATGGGAACAGAAAGCTTCATTTTTCTCCCTCAGAGCGGCGGGTGGTTTTGAATTGCTGACCTGTGGTTAGCAACCCACTACAGAACCCACTATGCCACCAGGCTCTTATTTATACGTTCATCTTTTCTGGAATCTGGGCTTGTGTAATGCATGCAACAGCCCGAGTCACTCTCAGATTGTTTTATGCAATTCTTCCGTTAATAAAAAGCACTCGTGTGGTTATTTTTAATTTGCTCGAGAGAGTAATATCGATTTTATTTTCATCTACCTGACACTCTTTTTTAATCACAACAACATTTATTCAATAAATCATTCCCCCGATGTGATGTGAAATGCCACTTTCAACCTACTCTTAAGTTTCCTCATGCATTTTGGTCTGGTTTTTCCACCCCTTAAATTTGATTATTCATGCACAAAACTGCTGTATCATTTTAATTAAAGAACAAAACCCACTGACATAGAGTCGATTCTGATTCATGGTGCTCCTATTTCCCCAACGGTGACTCTTGGCGGAGCAGGAAGCTTCCTCTTGCTCTCAGGGAGCTGCTGGTACTTTGAAATGCTTCCCGCAGCACCTTCAAACCCAAAGACGGAGCTCGTTGCTCGCCAGCCAATGCCCGCCTACAGCTTGGAGCCTGTAGCTGTTGATCCGAGTGGAAAGCCTGGTCTCTAGCCCCACGGAGAGGTGGTGGTTTCCAACTGCGGACCTCGCAGGTTCTTCACAACACAACCTGGGCTCCGTGACAGCACCACCAGGGCTCCCTCATAGTTTTAATTAGTCATACTCCATAAAACTGTTTTTAGTTGGCCTTCCAACAATCTCTTTTTTTTTTAAAGGAAGAAAGAAAGGATTTTCCTGGATTTTCTTGATTATTTACTTAAGAATGTTAAAGTCGTCTAGTTACAATGAGATTGCTTTGGGGGATTATTTGGGTTTGGCATTTAAATGAATCTGTACTTTAGTTCCCACAGAAGATGGTTATGCACATCTCTGATGCTAGGTAGTGGGAATCTGCATTTTAAACGCTTTACACAAAACCTGGTAGTGGCTATTCAGTCAGCTGACCTGACCTGGGTCAATAGGCTTGCCCTCCTCAACCAGTAGAACTGTTTCCACAGGGTTTCCAGGGCTCCTCGTGCAGGGAAGTAGACAGCCAGGCCTTTCTTCTGAGGTGCTTGTGAGCGGACTCAGAACTCCAACTTTCTGGTTAGGGGCCAAGAGCTTTCACCACCCAGGGAGTAAGGACCTCCTAGTTACATAGACATGGAGCTGCTAACAAGGTCAACATTCGAAACCACCAGCTACTTCAGAGAAGAAAGCGGAGGCTTTCTCCTCCCGTAAAGTTGTACCCCGTCCTGCAGGGTTGCTATGAGTCAACACTCCCGGGTGGCAGTGAGAGCTGGAATGTGCAGAGTGCTTATGCACATGGAGTTATTCCAACACTAACGCGAAGGAACTGATGCTAAAGAGGTTAGCAAACTGCCCAGATGAACACAGCAGGTTAGTGGACACGTTTGAAACCCATGCCCCAATAGGTCCTAAGTGTGTTCCAGCCACCATCCCCTGTCCACCTGTTAGTCTTTGCTGACCCCTGGAGAAGTCACAGAGACGCACACATGAAGCAAGAGCCCAGCAGCGCAGAAGGTCAGTGAGCTCCTGGAGATCCCGGGGAGACTGCTCTCAGGGCTCTCTCCTCAAAGCGGACCAGTGAATCAGTCATTCAAAGTGCATGATCGCCTGTGCACTGGCTCGATGCCCCACACTCGGGAGGGTAGAAGGCAGGCAGGTGTGGTCCTCCACAGTCCCGCTGGTCCAAGTGGGAGGGCCAGGAATCATTCCTCTGCCCCGGAAACAGACTGACCGACTGCTGCTCTCCCAAATGGCTGGATAACGTCGCCCGCTCATAGCAGTTCCACTCAGGCCGTAGTCCAACACTTTTAATAAGGGAGAGCAACATACAGAGGTGGTGCTGGCGGGACGGGAACAGGCAGGCCTAGTTCACCTCTTTAATTTGAGCGTAGACAACGGGGTCCTGGTCTGCCAAATGGCCGTCAGTCACCCGGCTGCTCTTTGCTGCTGAGGTTCTGAAAGCCATGGTGGCATAGGTCAGCGAGTCCTGTGAGGTGGCTGAGAGCTGCCAAGAAAGAGAAGGGAGGGATGAGTGGGTTCCATTTGCAGGAAGACTGGGGACCCTTTGCAAAAGCAGACGGAAGTTCGGTCTAGACCAGGGGTCGGCGAACTTTTGACAGAAGAGCCAACCCAGTCTCTCTCACATAATTTAAAAATGATCTGAGAGCCATAAATAGATTTGTCCAAACAAATGAAATCACCGTGATCTGAAAAACATCCTTTACAACTTTTATAAATGAAACCCTGATAGTTTGGTTTTCAGTTTCCAATTTGACTTCAGAGCCACATGGAAAGAGCCACCGCTTGCCAAGCCCTGGTCTAGAGGGTCAGAGGACACGCAGAGTCCCTGCCACTACTGTCATCAGTGCGGAGAACAGAGACACATTCATTCCGATGGCACTCGGCCTCTGGCATCCTGCAAACAGTGCAGCTACATTACCTTCACTGGCGGATCCAGGACTTGGGAACTGGAGTGACCTGCCACAAAGCCAGGAAGAAGGAGGACAAGTCTCATCAACGGGACCTGGAGGGATCAGCCGCCTCTCCCCTTGGTCTCGGGTGCAAAGGGTGGGGTGGGGAGGGGAGGTTAGAGATGGGAAAGGTGGAGGGAGCGGGGAAGGGATTTGAGGTCTCGGTCTACAGAGAGGGTGGGCCAAGGGGGTTTTCTTCTGCTCACCTTCCACCCCTCCCGCCTACTCACTCAACCCAAACACGTGGCTGAGACCGGTGCCAGTCGGGTAGAACTGTGCTCCACAGGGTTTGCAACGGCCAGGCTTTTAGATGGCAGCTACCAGGCCTGGCTTCCGAGGTACCACAGGGTGGACTTGCACTTCCAACTCCCCCTCAGTTAGCAGCCAAGCATTTTACCTGTTTGCACCACCCGAGCCTCCTATTCACTTAGAGTTCACCCTATTTTTAACAGCAGAGGAAGAGGGCTGTCCCAGGTCTTGAGGACCACTTACATTTCCTGTAGCTCTTTATGATGAGGAAGACAAGGGCCATTAGCAGCAGTGTGAGTAGAACCCCAGCACAAAAGGCCAGAACCAAATGAAGAGGCTCTTTGCTGTTTGGGCAGAGAAGAGGGACCGATGAACGGCTGAGCTTCTTGAAGGCCCTTCCTCAAGGCCAGAGTAGAACCGCTCCCACTGCAGGCAGACTCCTGAAACTGCTTCCACAGAGATGGGTTGCCCTCACTCTCACTGTGTTTCAATGTTGTTTTCTAGTTCCATTTGAGAATTCAATGAAAGCTGTGGACTCTCCCATATATTCCTAGGTATGTATGCGCACACACACACACACACACACACACA